AGTTTCCCGCTTAGCTTGGGACAACCTCACAACCTTAAATTTTAATTAAAATAGCTGTGTACTGCATGCATGTATGTATCATACATGGTAATGTGCGTATTTGTATATAGCCCCAGCGAGTTAACGCTCTATGGAGCGTCTTGTTATCTTTGCTTTGTGTGCTTTTGAACATTTGCAGGTACTATTGTTCCCAGTAAACTGCAAAACGACCGTTTCTTTAGGCAGTTTGTCAGTGACAGTTTTGTCAATTACCGGTACGTTGGACATATTTGTGTACCTCGTGATCACAATTCGTTGCAAGCGGCGTGTGAAAAACTGCAAGTTTCAGTTTGACAGTTCTGGCAGATAAATGGTTTCTAATTTTATTGTCCAATTAGGTGCGTAGGTTTGATTTAAAGTTCAAAACTACGCATCTGATTGGACAATAAAATTAGAAACTCATTTAACTGTACTGTCAGAACTGTCAAACTAAAACTTGCAGTTTTTCACTAGCCGCTTGCAACGAATTGTGATCACGAGGTACACAAATATGTCCTTCGTAAAAATTATCGGTCATTTCGCAGTGTATGTAGATTTTATTTAAATCGCTAAACTTGTAATGCAGATTTTGACCATCTGTTCTTTAAAATATAAACCATGAGGATAAGGAATATCTTAAATAAATTATAAATAAAGGGTTTACATTGACTCATGCATTAACCCAGAGTATTTAAGGAAATATTTTTACTGCACAATGTGTCGTTGCACAACTATAACTCAGAGTGTTTTGGAGATTGTGCAAAATCAGTGTATTTGTAGTTAGAATTAAATAAAAATGCAATTATTAACGTCTTTCTGGCTATTTGTACGAACAGCGAAGAGCAACGTGGCCATATTAAGAGAGGCGTCTTTTACAGGCTTGATGACTATCACTTTTAAGACTTCACTGAAAGCTTAATTAAATTGTGAAACTCATTAATAATTCATGAAGAAAACACAAAAGAAATCATGAGTGTGAAGGAGTTTTTATATCTGATACAAAATCGCTTGGACCTTTGAGGGGGTGGGGGGTGGTGAAGCATCCCGATTTTACCGACTAAAATGGGCGTGGCCCTTGACGGATATAGGCGTGGCTTATCATAAACAGTTGGCGTATGAGAGAGATGAAACGGTCGAAACAACCGAAAATACAAATTACAGGCAAAAATGGAAAATGCCAAAATATTAAAATATGAAATTTACGGGAAATTTTTTTGAAATTTTAAGACAATTGGGGAGGGGGTGCGGGCAACCCAGAGGACTTTGTCTACATTAGCACCTCTGCATTAGCACAGAATACTAACCTATTCAGAAAGCCCTCTCTATTGTTTTTTTGCGCAATCGCTATTCGTCATCAATCCGCCCCTCAGCAAGTGCCCTAAGTATTCAACCCCTGGAAATACCCAAAAAGGCGATTACGTCAGGGGGGGGGGGGGTGACTGCTTTGTTTAGGGCAATTACTGAGGGGCGGACGATGACGAATAGCGCTTACGCAAAAAAACAATGGAGATGACTTTCTGACCATAGGCAGCTCAGAAAAATGTGTATTCACTTAATGAAACGCTTACTGTCGTTCCAATTGAAGTGTTCCTCAAATATTGATTCAATACATTACCTCAGGCTGACCAATTCATTTCATCAAGTTCCTCGAGATATTCATACACTTCCTGTGAAAGCGCCAATTCCAAGAATTTGATCATTTCTGGTCACTTCCTTTCTATTTATGATTGGTTAAGTTGCACAAACAACAAAGGTGATTGGTGCATTCAAACTATTCAACAGGAAGTTTACAATTTATATACTAGGAAGTGTATGAATATTTCGCGGAACTTGATCAAATGAATTGGTCAGCCCGAGGTAATGTATTGAATCAATATTTGAGGAACACTTCAATTGGAACGACAGTAAAAATACGTATAAAGTTCGTCTCAATTTGCTATCAAGCGATTTATTTGTGCAGCTCATATTTTCATGCCACTACATAACCCGCGAACAGGTATACTCTTGGCACAGAATACTACACAGAAGTCCATCTCCATTGTTTTTTGCGTAAGCGTTATTCGTCATGATTCGTCACTCAGCAAGTACCGTAAACAGAAGCAGTCACCCCCCTGGAAATACTAAAAATGGCGCATGTCCAGGGGGGTGACTGCTTCTGTTTACGGTACTTGCTGAGTGACGAATCATGACGAATAACGCTTACGCAAAAAACAGTGGAGATGGACTTCTGTGTAGTATTCTGTGCTCTTGGGAACGAGAATACGAGATTGACGTTTTGCCTTTTAGTACATCTGTAGTTGTGTTGTTCTGTAACGTACATTCCATTTTGCAATGGCTTTCACAGTTTTATGTTTAATTTCGTACATCCTCGCCACAGTTTTGCTTGGATGTTTTGGCTGTGTTCTTTTTTTTGTGTCATATTTGTATTATGTCCACAAAATCAACGATCATTTACCAGGACCACCTCGTTCGAGTTTCATATTGGGTCATCTCCCAGATCTTTGGAAATACAAAGCTGAAACTGGCAGAACGAATGCCGAATTTATGCTGGAAAAACATGTCGAATACGGGCCAATATTTGTATTATTCATTCTTCACAAGTCTATTGTATTTCTGGGAGACGCTACCTATTTGCGACATGTTTTCATAAATAATCATGCGAGCCTTTTTAAAAATTCATCTGTCTATCTTAAGTTTGGTTTTGTTTACGGTGAGAGGGGAGCTGGTTCTGGATTGACAATGAATACAAACAAAGCATCATGGCGCAAACGACGGCAACTTATGAACCCGGCTTTTCACCGTAAATGTCTAAAAGATTTCATGGGTAATTTTAATAATGTTTGTGACATCTTTATGACGCGCATGGCCGCAGTTGTTGATGCTGGCAAGCCAACCAGTATGGTCCAGGAATTTGCAAAAGTCACTTTGGAAGCTATAAGTCAAGTGTCCTTTAATATCAATACCCACGCTATTGAGGATCCCAATTCCCCATTTCCGGGAGCAATACGACACTATCTGAGTGGTGTGCAGGACAACCTTGATATGCCACTCCACCCCACTCTCCTGGGAATATTCCAGTTTAAGCTGTTTCAGAATGCTATCAAAAAAGAGCAAATGGATGCAGCACGATTTCTCAGGAAATTTGCCTCTGATTGTACCACCACTCGGATGAAGGACATTGCTGATGATAAGGCTGTCCCTGATGACTTATTGAGTCTCTTGATTAAAGATGGCAGGTTGACATTGGATGACATAATTGATGAGTTCTTGACCATATTTATTGCTGGACAAGAGACAACTGCAAATTCATTGTCATTTACCTTGTATGAAGTCATTAGAAATCCCCATGTTGAAGCGAAACTTTTAAACGAGGTTAACGAAGTGCTTGGCGGTCGTGATTATGTGGAGTTTGATGATTTGGCAAAACTGAAGTATCTTGGTCAAGTTTTGGAGGAAGCTTTAAGAAAATATCCTGTAGCACCAGCACCTACTTCTAGAGTGCTAGCAAAAGACATTACAGTTGGGGGATATCATATTCCAAAAGGAAATGGAATTAACAGTCTGCAGATATTTTTTTCAATGAATCCTGAAATTTGGGAGAATCCCAAAGTTTTTGACCCAGAAAGATTCTCTGATGCTAAAAATATTCCAAATTTTAGCATGACCTATTTCCCCTTTTCCATTGGCCCACATAATTGCATTGGACAGACGTTTGCCAAGTTTGAATCAAAAGTTATCCTTGCAAAATTACTGCAGAATTTTCAGTTCAGGTTATTGCCTGGTCAGACTAATAGGATGAAAGCAAGACTTACAATGACTCCTCGAGATGGTGTGATGTGTGAGGTCACCAGGCGTACATGAATAATGGCGGGAATCCTTCAGCATATGAATATTGAGTGGTTTGTTAAGCTATGTGTTAATAGAAATTATAAATAACAGCCAATGAACACTCAGGAATTGAAAGTTTACTGAATTTCTAATTTTCTTTCACATTCATGAATTACTTTCATTTCTAAGTTAAAATTGTATTAAAAAATATACTTAATGCTGGTATCGATACCACCCGATACCAAGTAGTCGATACTACACGGTATTCAATTAGACATTCATGATAATTATAATCCTGTAGTTGTATCCTCGTTTTCATGGTTATTTCTAATAAAATTTATGTACTTTTTTGTATTTTGCTGCATTTATCAAACTTCCTTTACTTTATTTGACATTCTATCCACTTCCCTTATTAATATTCCTGACCTCATCGACAGAATAAATTATTAAAAAGGAGGGACACAAATAAACTTTTGTTTTTTCATGGAATAAATAAAATGGCAGAAAATTATGTAACTTCCTGAAAATATATATCGTCACTGTTGCAGTAGAAGGCTACTTCTTTAACAGTCGAGAAGGCTACTTCTTTAACAGGCTACTTCTTTAACAGTTGGAGGAAGTAATCGTTTGGGTAATGCGAGGGGTAATGGATACTTCGATACTTTTACGAAAAAGTAATTGGTATCGAGCATCAATGGTATCTAGTCGATACTGGTGATCACTACCCCCGTGCCTCAATCTTACATGTTCCCTCGTATAGTCGTATTACCATCGCACTTCAGTTCCCTAAAAAGCCCTGCAAGACCCCCCCCCCCTTGCGTTCGGGAGTCGGGAAATGCCGGACCATTTCGTTATTCCGGTCGCTCACTTCCGGTCGCATACTTCCGGTCGCATACTTCCGGTCGCATACTTCCGGTCATGGTTTAAAGAATAGAACAATCGAGCATTTTCTTGCAAAAATCTTATGACAAACTCATGAACTTTTCTAAACTTTGCTCAGTTTGAAATGCAGTAAGAAGCACGAGATATGGCGTGATCTTTTTTATTATATAATCATCTTTCCTTAACCTCAGGTGAGTAGGTATTGACTGTAAAGTACTTTATAAAAGGTTTATATATAGGCTGCACTCACTCGGATCATGCTCAGATTTTGCGTCAATGTAAATATGATGTAATACAACCAGATTGTCATACCATCTGCATCGAAAAATTGTGCATATGTTATTTTAACCTCAAACACACATGAACTAAGTGTTCACAAAAAATTATTAGAGACAAAATGAGATACAGTAATTTGAGTAATAACATGATGATAAGTTCTTTGTATGTTTGCATGGCGATAAAATATAATAGTCTTGTTTGTGGAAACACCACGTAAATTTATTACTTATTATTAGCACTGATGAAGATCCAGGCTTGCGGATCGAAATCTTTGCAGTAATAAATTTACGTGGTGTTTCCACAAACAAAACTATTAACATGATGATAATTAGCAAACTGTGAACGATTACAATTCAAATACAAATATACAATAGTCAAGCAAGACTTTGCAGTAGTCTAGCAAGTTGATGGGCGGACGGCACACATGACCAACACAACTCGGCAGAGCTGGCAGAGCACCTCCCTACCAGATCATGCTGGATCCATCCCTGTCATATGTTCTGCACTGCATCGCCGTGCTTTAATAACATCACAGAATAACTACTAATTTATACACAAGTTTTTAATGCATGTTAGGATCTTCAGGTAGTCTATATTGACAACATAATATTTTTGTTTCTATCAATCAGACCAGATGTCATAGTAATCAAACTTTTAAACTTGTGTCTAAAATTAAAAGAAAAGAACCAGACGAGAAAATCACACACATTTCCACTTCTGTTGTGCTGGCAATATGATCAAATTTGACCTGTTGTGTTGATTGTAGGAGAAAAATTGCACATGATAACCCTGGGCCTTGCAAATCACTACAGCTGCAATACAGCTGCATGATGGTATACATCATACAGATCCGGACAAGACCATGATGTTTATATTCATTTGAACACTTTGCAGCAGCCGTGGTTGGCTTTTGCTACATTAACCATTTCAGCTTCATTATTTCTAGGACAACATGTCATCACCAGATAAGGGTTATGACATCACATACAAAGTTCTGGTTGTCGGGGAAATGAGCGTTGGAAAAACATCGTTAATTCGAAGATATTCCCGTCCTGAAGAAAAAATGGCAATGTCTTACCTCACCACTGTTGGTAATTATTTATAAAAAACAGAGTTGTAGACTTGAGTCGATTATGTGACTTGGACTTGAGTTGCAATTTTTGTGATTGGACTTGGGGATGCTTCACATATCGATTTTTTCCATGAGAAACGTCATATGTTTGTTTGGGGGTAGGGGGTTTGCAGCTGTGACGTTTCTCTGTAAATATCATGGAAAAATTTGACGAAAGCCTTTAGTTAACATTTCGGAATCATATTTGCAGAATATGAAATAGAAAACAACTTG